CTATACTAATATACTCGTACTAATATAATAAAGCGGAAAAGTTTGTTTGTTTTTTTGTTTGTTTAAATGCGCTAATCTCTGGAACTACCAGTCCGTTTTGAAAAATTATTTTTGTATATTATAGGCAGATTCATGTGGAATAGTATAGACTATCTAGCATTAAGCTATATCACTCAGCTAGCCTTAAATATGGATATTTGTTAAGCAAGTCAGAAGAAAAAGCGCTCCCGAAATGATTTATCCGCGTAGGCTGGTGTTATGGTTAGGGATACGTAAATACAATGTTCTAGAAAAATATACATCTTTACGTCGTCTAAAAAAAAGTCCGCGATACCATATGTCTATTTCTTTTTATAGGAGAGGTAGCAAAGGAGCATGCGGCTCACCTGATGGTAAGTGACTACCGCCGCCCATGAACAGCTGCAACACCAGGGAGGGAATCACAGAGGCGTTGCCGGCCTTTTAAAAAGGAGTACGCTCTTTTAAAAAGGAGTACGCTCTTTTCTTGAAGGTCCCTAAGTCGTATCGGTCCGGAAAAATCGCTGATGGTAATCGATTCCACAAGGAAGTCGTGCGAGAAAGAAAACATCTTCTAAATCGCTAACGATAAAATACGTAAAGAGATGCAACATCTCTAGTCAGTGCCAGTGAGTCAAACCGATCGGAAAGAACTCAGTCGTCAAAGATTCGAACCGCTCTGCACTGGATGCGGTCAAGTGGAAGGAGCTGGCACTGGGGAGCCCCTGCCCAGAGATGGGAACAGTATTCCATGAGAGGCCGAACCTGCGCCTTGTAAACTTGCAGGCGGTGTGCCGGCATGAAATACTGTCCCGCTCTGCTGAGCACGCCAAGCTTTTTAGAGGCCAATTTGGCCTTCTCTTCCAAGTGACCACGAAACTGCACGTCACTCGATATGTCGACTCCGAGGATTCCGATACTGGCTGAGGCAAGAAGAGGAGTGCCCTGAAACTGAGGAGATACGACAAAGGGGTTCTTTTTAGCGCTAAACGCGCAAACTTGTGTCTTCTGAGGATTAAACTGGACTAGAGACTTAAGTCGCCCCCAGTCTGTGGCTTTGTTCAACAAAGCCTCAACTTCAGAGCTTCAGACACAAGTTTGATCCGGTACTCGGCGACGTTTTCCCGAAAAATATTGGCACGATCGGTGTATAAAGCATATGCTGTCGTCTGCATAGCAATGAATGTTACCGGATTGCAACATACCATTGATATGCAGAAGAAACAGCGTTGGTGATAGCACACAGCCTTGTGGAACACCAGCATTAATAGGGTTGTAGTCGGAGCATGCACCGTCTACAACGACCTTGATGCTCCGATCTGCAAGGAAGCTGGTGATCCAATCGCACAATTTCTCGGGAAGCCCCTAGGAAGGGAGCTTCGAAAGAAGCGCTTTGTGCCAAACTCGATCGAAGGCCTTCGCAATGTCCAAACTAACGGCCAACGCCTCCCCCTTGGACTCTACTGCCTCCGCCCATCTATGAGTTAAGTAGACCAGAAGATCACCAGCTGATCGACCCCGACGAAAACCGTATTGGCGGTCACTAATCAGCTGGTGATCCTCAAGGTACCGCATGTGCTGGCAGTTAATAATTGATTCCATTATTTTGGAGAACAAGGAGGTCAGCAACAGCGCTGGGATCATCCGGCGAGAAGCAAACCCGCCCCTATGGGGAGGATGCAAAGAAAGACCGCATTCCGTCCCAATCCGCCGACCTGTAATGCCAAACACGGCGGCAACCTGCAGAACGCAACCGCGAGGGGAGCGTGAGTGGCACCACACTCTGGATCAGACAATGGTCCGAAGAGCCGAGAGGGGCATCGACGGAGACCTTATATCCTTCCGGATGAGAGGTCAGCAGAAGGTCCAACAGGGAAGGTGTATGATGCTCCACATTTGGAATCCGCGTAGGCGAAGTAACCAGTTGTGTCAGACCGTATGCCAAAGCAAAGTCATAAACAGATCTCCCCGCATGATCGGTTAAACGTGAACCGAGCCATTCGGCGTGGTGGGCGTTAAAAATCGCCAAGGATCACGATCTCTGCGGATTGGACCTGTTGTAGCAAAGAATCTGTAGCCATTTGGACGTGGTCAATGAGTCGGTCTGTTTCGGCATTACCGCTATGGGACCTATAGAGGCATCCGTAGACGCGCGGATGGTCGTCGCTGTCTACGCGTAGCCATAGGATGGACAGGTCCGAACCTTCAAGACTGCCGAGGCGTCGAGAACAGATGTCCTCTCTGACATACACGCAAACTCCAGACCGAGGCACAAAGGAGTGCTCCAATTTGTACCCCGAGTAGGAGAGATACGAAATATCAGCTGGAGAGGAAACCTGCGTCTCGGTCAGAAAGAGCAAGGCCGGCTTGGCCGTCTCGAGATTGTAGTGGACGGCGTTTAGGTTCGAGTGAAGTCCCCTGATGTTGCAGAAATTCACGGATAGCGTGGCAGGGGTCGCCTTGGTCTTGTTGCTCAGTTTGCCCCGAGCAGTTATGTTTTTGAGCGGAATTTGGAGCTGGGGGGGCACCCCCCCAGAATACGCGGGGCAGCCTGAGCACCCACGTTCAGGAGTGGAATAACATGGTCGTGGATGCTCAGCGAGGGATTCTCCAGGGGTGCTGGTACCCTCCTGGGGTAGTCTAACGTGTAATTCCGCTACCATGTTGATGGGGGGGGGGGGGGGGGGGAAATTGGGCCTTTTTCTTATACATAAGCCATAATTAGGTATTTTGTACAAAAATATATTGAAAATTAGGTTAGTTCAATTATTATAGCTATAATAAATTAAAATATTAATTGAGTAGTTTCGTGACAATAATTAGTTACATCTTTATTTCTGAACTCTCTCATTTCACGTTGCTATGGTATTTTAAAAATTTTATTGATTAATAAGTATAAGAGTTTGATAGCAAATTTATCAAGAATCATTTCATGCCTACACACTTTTCATGTATCGTGTACGGTTTTCTTTAAAACTGGAAAAAACCGCGCTTCGGGACACTTTCTGGCACGTGAAGGGGGGGGGGGGGGACGCTCAACCGGGAGGGGGAGGAAAAATGGATAAAACTTAACTTCGCTCTACATCATTCATAATATGCCGACAGATAAAAGTACTCCATTAATTATGCCAATTTTTCTATACATTGCTTTCAAATAAAATATTTAATTGCAATTATAAAATGCTTGAACTAGGTGTCATGTCATGTCGCGCACCTCGGACACGGGATGATGCGGGTGAAACCGGGGGGCACAGCTAGTTTCAAATAAAAGTAGAAGCCTTATTTACTCGGATTTTCAAAAACCGCTATAACATTATATCATAAACTTATGTTCAAACATATTATTTATATATTTGAACATAAGTTTAAAATTTGGCTACTCTTTGGAAAATAACCCTGTATAAAACAGTAAAACTAAATTAAGAACAAAATGTAAATCTGTTTTTTTTTTTCATATGACAACAACATTCAACGATTTTTTAAGGAACTCGTTTCTGTTTTGGTATAAGTTAACCGTTAATTTATTTATGAATTCCGCTTTAGATTACCATACTCGTAGATGGCATTTAGCATTTATGGTATCTACCACAAAAGCTGAATGTCAATTTTTAATTCATTGTCTTAATAACGCTCCTAGCTCTATTAAAAATGCTACACCGGCTTTCGCCGTGGCGTCTTACGGGAATCCACTGCCTGATATCATCCAGTGGCCAGTGGTCAGAGGCGCACAAAAAAACTGAAACAGGAGAAGGGCAGCCGCAACTTCCTCATAACTAATTAAAACATTAAAAAGAACTGCGGTTATCAAACCGGATGTCTTGCCTTATCTTAGAGTAGTGTAGTTAACACAGAAATCCGAATAATTACTTAAGTATTTATTTAGATTTTAGTGTGATCTGTTTCAATTCATCATGATCTGTAATTTATATATATTATATTTCACGTAATCAATATATCAAATAATTTAATAAATAATCAAAGAAAAAATAAATGGTTGGTTCTAAGTAACACTGTGTTAGCGTGGAAATATTACGATAGTTACATCAGAATGTTTGTATTTAAATTAGGAGATCCTCATGACTACAGCACGTAAAATAGGTAACTACGTAATACACGTTGTCCCACCTGACAGAATGTGTATGATGTGGTTCATAGACGCCTACATGTCATCAACATCTATTATAGATTAATAATCTTAATGTAGATGCGTTGTCATCCCTGAGGACAAAAATGGAATGCCCCGCAACGAGAAAAATGTTTTTATAAAATATAACATAAGAACTTTGATAGGTAGCCAATAAAAATATACAGAATTCAAGTGACTCGTTTTAAAATTATAGATGTTAAATTGCTTTAAATATTTTCTAGGAAAATTTATATTAACATTTACATATTTAATTATTAAATTTATGTCATCATTGAAAAATACTTCTAACAATTTTAAAATTATTACGCAATTTTTAATGGAAAATGTTTATATGAGTAAAATATATTTTTACCATAATGCGTATATTTTCTGTGACGTCATTGCTATCAGGAAGTTGGCTCTAGTTAAAGCTTCTACACTAGAACAATTCAAAAACATTCATCAATGCAATGTTGTTAACAAAACGAACCATAGAAAAGAAGTAATTTAAAATAAATTTTATTTTGTATATTTTCGTTATTGTGGACCACGACGACAAGGTACTTTTCTACCGACATCAAAAAGGAGACGGTACTCAATTCGACTGTATGTTTTTTGTATGTATAAACGTAACTTTTTACTGGGTGGACCGATTTCGATGATTCTTTTTTTATTTGAAAACTGGTGCTTCACATGTGGTGCCATATAAATTTGATCAAGATGTGGCCAACAGTTTTTGAGTTATTCTTAATAATTTATATTGAAGTCGGTTGTACAAAATTTTTTAATTTTAAATTATTATTTTTATCGTAAATGTTAATCGTAATTTGTAAATATTTTTATTGTTTTCAGAACAATGAGTTATTTGGAGGATTCCCCATTACTGGATACGTCGCTCACAGGTGATAAAATGGAAAAATGGGTTACCGCGCTAACTAAAGGTGAAAAGATCGAGATTGACGTATATGGAAAACCCACAGAGCAGCAGCTGAGGGAGTTAGAAAACGTCAAAAACTTGAGCAAAGAGCTACAAGATAACTTACATGTAAGTTTTTTAATTCCCTTGGTGTGTTTGTTTTTATGCATTCGTAATTAGTGACGTCAAAGTACCTATAGCAGAGCAGACAGCTTTTGCATCAAGAATAACGTGTTGTTTTTTACGCGGGCCCTGATTATGGAAAAAAAGTTTATTTTAGATAATACTTCATTTATATATGTTGATGATTTAAAAAAAAATGTGATATTATTTGATATTTGCCTACTCATATAGAAACACTTAAATTAACATACAGTCCTATAGTTAGGGTTGCCAGGTAGTGGGGATTTGTCTGGATTCTCCCGACATTTTTAATGATCTCCCGACAAAACACAAAATCTCCAAACAAAAAGCTTCTCTTCATACCACAGCTGCCTTTGATTTAATAAAAGCTGAGTTAGTAATTAGATTGAACTTTGAAGTAAATTGTTTGAATTTTAAATCTTTTTTGAATATTACTAAAGGATCCAAATTGGTGGACTCGGTAAAGTTCAATGCCAAATACATGTGGCAACCTAAAAATCAAGTGTACTTTAGTCAACAATGTTAAGTCTTTTTGTAGCCTATTAATTTAAAAAAAATACACTTTTAATTTTTCAATTTTATTTTTAATATTTATTTCTCCCGTCAACAACCCATAATTCCCGACAATTTCAAATTTTGTCCTGATATTTCGGTCTTCCGATCTGGTATACCTACCTATAGAGCCGAGAACACCGCCTATGAGCGAGAAAAGGACTAGCCCTCTTATCACCACTATTCCTTTAGGAATTAGTATTGATTTAAATTTATTTCGTCTGTCACTTTTGTTTTATGTACTCTATGAATAAGGGCTTATTATCATCCGCTCACCAGATGTCGCTAGTTGAGACTGAGGTGATATACAAATGGGTCGACTCGACCGAGGAAGGACCACGCTCTCACAGAAAACCAGCGTAAAATAGCTGCTTAATACTGCTGTGTTTCGTATAGTGAGTGACGCTTTTGTACTGGAAGGCATTCCATCTTAGTCCTCAGAGGTGACAACGCATCTGCATTCGGTGACTCTTAGTCGAGGAAAGATGTAGATGTCTATGAGCCACAGAATCCACTCGCCATCAGATGGACTATGTGCTCGTTCGTCAAGCTTATTCTACAAAAAACGAGGTAAAATTATTTGTGAGACACATGAACACATTAGGTCAACATTATAGAAAAGTTGCGTTTTAAATAAAAGATTAATGCTCCCTCTAATAACCCTCTGCCCCCTGTAAAAAGTAGTGGAAGTCTACATTGTTAGGATGCTCGTAAAATCTTTATAGTTCTCATATAAATATCTCATATTTTACCATAAATAGTATATTTTTAATGTTTTGTATTACGAATGCACAATTTGTTGATCGTTAGGAATCCAAACTATTTGTGCCAATGTCAGTTATTAACATCCCATCAAGATATCATGTTTATAAACTCTGTAAATGATTTATTATATATTATGCAAAAACATAAAAAAAACTCTAATACTAAAATAATGTTTATATAATATGTTACGGCTGAACCATAGAAAAGAACCAAAGAAGCCTTAGCGGGAACACACCTAACTTTAGCCGGCTAGAACTAGATGCAGGCAAATGCGGTTGGTTAAACTCGATTTATTCCTGGTATGTGCTGTGTTACAGAGAAGTCCGAATGATTTATAAATGTCCTAAGGACCACTGGATTCAGAGTGGTCTTTAGGCCACCTGCATCTAAACCTACTCTCGCTAATATAACTTGATAGTCACAGCTAGTTTTTATCGAATTCACCTAACTTAAAATAAACACAATCGGCTGAACTGAACTGAAATGTAGCCGGATAAAAGTCGGCTTTCGGCTCTTCAACTGTTGGCCGTGAAATATACATAAATAAAATAAAATACTCTTCCAGGAATTAGAGAACTCAGTACGCAATCCCGATGCAGAAAACGAAGCAATGAACCCCACCGCTCCTATCCTGGACTTCTCAGAAGACCATGAATTTGTTTCGGCTAACAAACTCGACGATTATTACGCGGAGGAAGATAAAGCAGATGCAAGAGAAGAAGAGAAGAGGAGACTGACAAAGGGTAAAGCACCCATGACTGAAATGCAGAGGTTTTATAAGGATCAGTGTGTGTTTTTGACGGGCGGTACTGGATTTTTGGGTAAAGGTGAGTGCTGTTTGCGCTTTGGTTTTGCTTTATATGCTGTTAATCCGTCTAAAGTAGATTGTACTTGTATTATAGATAAGGCTGTCTCTTAATACGGCGTGAAGTAACGGCGAATAACTGATTTCCTATAAATTCCTTATTAAAATAAACAGACTTAAATGTCAAGAAAATATTTTACAACAATTTGTGAATTTTAACCATATATGATAAAGTTAAAATTCAAAGTTACAGCCTATATACTTCCCACTGCTGGGCCCAGGCCTCCTATAAGTTCTGAGAGGGTTTTAAGACAAGGAAGTGTACGCCGCGCTGCCCCAAAGCGTGTTGGCGGACTTTACATGTCTCGAAATATTTTTTTCTTATTTCTCAGACGTGCAAGTTTTCTGATGATGCTTTCCACGCCGAGCACGTGGTAAATCAGCACTTAGAATTGCAATTAACAATTTCATTAGTGTCAGCCGGGATCGAACCCAGGTTGCTTGCGTACTGTGAAAGTTACAGCGAGCGCTTAACCCCTGAGCGACCACGGCTCTCTGGTAGATCAGGCTTATACGAGATGTTATTAATAACGTCTATCCCAAAGACAAAAATAATCAAAAGGATGTTTTGTAAGATGTAAGGTTGCTTCTTACAACATCCTAGGGACGACATTTTGTAATGATACTCCAGTGACAATAAATGTAATGAACTCCAGTAAGAATGATAATGTAAATGCGTTGTCGCCCCAAAGGAGTAGGATAGAATAATTCGTTACCAGTAAAAAGGGTCTCTGGTTGGCTATATAAAACACAGCAACATTAAGCTGCTTCTTCGCTGGTTTTCTAGCTGACTGGTTTGGTATTTGATATAGGTTTGGTTTTACCACGCGGAGTGCTATGAGAAATTGTTCGCATTAATCCCAGCCGCCAAATTTCACAAAGGCACATCGCGGCAGACCTCCCGATACCATCCACACCATCTGGATGATTGGCGGTCCCACCACTGTGCGATTTAGATGATGTTTTCTTCCTCGCACAACTTCCCTGTGGAATCGATTACCACCAGCGATTTTTCCGGACCGATACGACTTAGGGACTTTCAAGAAAAGAGCATACTCCTTTTTAAAAGGCCGGCAACGCATCTGCAATTCTCCTGGTGTTATATTTCATATGTTATGTTCCTCCTATTGTTCATGGGCGGCGGTAGTCGCTTACAATCAGGTGAGCCGCATGCTCGTTTGTCCCCTCTCCTATAAAAAAAAGTGAATATGTCTAGCTAATCTTAAGTTAGCAAGATTAATAAATAATAATATTTACGGAAGAAAACGAAAGGCTAAGGCTGTTTTTACTTTTGTATTTATTTAAGTCGTACTTAACTCGGTAATATTTTTGAAACTTGCTTGTGTCGATGTTGTATATTACAAAGAACGCATGTCATTGCATGTTAATTGTAATTGTATGTGTATTTGTGTGTTTGTGTTATTTGCAATGTTGTATTTGCGTTCACTGTTTGCAAACTGTAACAATGAATGTCGTTCAAATTTTATTTACGTAGTTTTAATTAGTTCGTGTATGTATTTAAACTACAAATGGTAGTTTTGATTAGCTTTTAGAATATTATAACTAAAGTATAATATATATATTACTGTTTTATACATATTATGTAAGTGTGGTGATGTAACCAAAGATGGTAAAGCGCCCTGACTTAGCTTAAGGCACTCTTGTCTTTTAAGGCTCGATCGACTACAATGTAGTCTAATAATAAGACTCTTGTTGGAAAATTATTCTACTCCTATAATGTACGCATGACGAATGACAACGCAATCCGTTTGGTTCGAACGCGTGGTGAACTTAGTCGACAAAGAAGGGGTGGAGACTGGCCGAGCGTATGGTTGGTCAGATTGTCCAATTGTATACCCATTTTATGATTGTTTTAAATTCTCTTCTTGTTTTAGCAGCAAACGTGTCCAATTTCCTGTTATAAAGTAATTACGTCTATTAAGTTAATTTTTTTAGACTTCATCTTCACAGAAAAGCAATATGTAGTGCTTTTCCGTTAATTGATATTACATTCATAGTTGGAAAGATTTTTTGTCATCACGATTGACGGAATTTTACCACGTTTTTATTAAATGACTTTCTTGTTTGACTGTCGATCTGTACTGTCGTTCCGGGTGGAATCTTGCAACTCAAATTTCGAGCACTTCCCGATAAGCTAGAGACTTGAAATTTTGAACGTAGCTCAGAATCGTATGACAATATAGGAATATGAAAGAACGTGGTATATTTTTTTTATTAGTACAAATTTTTTAAAAATCGCTTGTTTTATATACAATTTGAAATTAAAGTATATGGAACTTGCATTAGTTTTAAAATTAAGCGAAAAGCTATCGAATTTTCTGAATAATTTTAACGGATTCATTTTCGATATGAATGTAGTAAAATAATAAGAAATTAGTTTTTGACCTTGTGACAAGTAGCTGCTACTCAATAAATCACAGATCTATTGACTAGCGGCCACTTCTCTTCTAACGGTAGTTAGTTACTAAATCTATGCAATAAATAATATTCAAGTTAAAATATATGACATTGTGATTGCTATGCCTCAGATAAATTTTGATGTTTTGTCGGTTTTAGATATCGTTGTAGGTCAAAAGAATAAGATATGTTACAAAGCAAAGTTACTACAAATTCTTTTTTGTGATCTGAACCAAAACTTAGTAGAATGTCTTCTTCACGAACCCGTATTAGTCTACTGCTGGAAATGGACCTCAGTTACTACTGATTTGTCATAATCGCCAAACATGGCAGGCGGATTGGCGATGTCAGTTCGCTCTGTCTCGCAATTTTGATACGCTGTTCCTCATCATTGGTCTAGGTATTTTACATTTAGCATAAACAAAAGGACTATATAGCAGTGGACTCGTGATGGGCTCTAATCATGATGATATTCCCAATCTAACGAGGCATTCCATCTTAGTACTGAGGGGTGACAACGCATCTGTATTTTGATTCTTAATCGAGGATCGTCTATGGGCCACAGCATCCACTTACCATCAGGTGGTCTCTGTGCTCGTTTGTCACTCTTATTCTATAGAAAAGAAGATATACAATGTTTTTTTTTTTCTGACCTTTCTGGTTTCTTTGACATCGCCACTACACTACAAATATGTTTTTAATACAGATAATATTCTAATGAAAAGTAGAGATTCTAAATTAGGCACATTAAATATTTAGTGATTACAGGTTACTCATGTCAAGTTTTTTTCATGTTTGATCAAGGGACTTTATTTTTTATATTCAAATTTTGGAATGTAGAGGTATTCAAATTACACGCAAATAAAAATGGCGGGTTAAGCTCGTAGCTGTGTTTTACTTTTCTGTGTATCAATTTATGTCTCATCATCATCTACAAAGTTACAGAGTTCACTGCCATCCATTTTGTCGCGTTTCGTCGCTTTACCAAACCCACGAGACGAAAGAACATCGATATCCGTTTTCTTATCAATTGTATTTTAGCTGCCATTATTTTAATTATGTTTTTTTTTTAACGTAATGCCGAAAATGTTTTGCACCTGGTACGATGTGGGTTAACTTTGAAATTTTTCATTTTTAACCGAGTTCTTAAAAGGTTTTGTATTCGACGCCTATGTTTTGTATGCATGTTCACCGATTTCTTGGAAACGGCTGAACTATTTCACAGCAACGTTGTGGACCAGAAATCTTTTCTCCACTGGTTGCGCATAAATAGACTACTGCCACAAAATATACATACATAGAATATAATATACAAAAAGTTTCAACAACAACTTGGCAATAATTAGCACGCAATTGCAACAACAAGTCGTTTACGATATCGAGTTCACGTCATACGACGTTAGTGTTACCCGAATTAAAAAAAAATTGGTATTCATTTAATGATCGACGGGTTAATTCCAAACGGCTTTTGTAATGTTTGTTTTTGCATGTTGTGTTTTTGTACTTTGTGTGATTTTTTTGCATTTTGCGTGATGGCTTATATTACGAGTATGTTTGTGATACGGGCTACGTCATGGTAAGTAATTTCTTTAATTTGCTTTGTTATTTTTTTAAATAAACACTCAACTTGATGAATCAATTGAACTTGACGTTTAAAAAAACTTGTTAATGAAAATACAATGTGACTTTTTGTTTATAGTTACAAAATTGATGAATTTTATAGTAAAAATAATACATAAATTGGTATGAGTAAATATTAGACTTTTTGTCTGTCTATTTGATACTGTCATTTATTTGTATAAATAAATGTCAAATAAAATTAAGAGGGGTAGGCAGAAACTTCGTACTTCCATAGGGCACAACGTTCCTGATACACCTTTCTTGTTTCTGTAACATCCATACTTTTTATTATCTACGCATACATACTCGTCGGTTAAAGGCCCGCCGTCACTCACTTTTTTTTTACTATTATAAGATACTTGACTACTATCCCACCTGATGTTACAATATTAACTATCATAATTGGGATGTAAGAAGGAAAATCTAAGTCAATTTATCTTCAAATGTCAACCTCAACTGTACATGCACATTGCGAGCGAATGAGGTACTGGTGAGTAACTAAAACTTCACCGACTGGTTATGAGTGCAGCTTAAGTAGACATGCCAGATGGCGCGCATATTGACGAATGTACAGCAGTGGATCTTTTGTACAATGCTGTATGTGGGGGAATGAACTATACTTTTTATGTATTCACTCTTTATTTATTTCAATGACTCTATACCGGACAAAACATTAAGAATTGGAACAATGTGTCTGTTGCAACCGTTCAAACAAATAGCATAAATTACATGGAATAAAACTAAATTTACGGATTTCATCGTGTTTAATTTAACTTTTGTAATTTCCGACGTTTCGGGCACTTTACCCTCCCGTAACCATGAATGCTGTAAAGTGCCCGAAACGGTGGGAATTAAAAAATTGAACTTTTTTAAACGCGATACAACCCGTAAAATTTTGTTTCATTCCATGTGTAATATTCGCGT